AGCAACATCCAGCTACGGCAAGTGTCCACACTTGCAAATCTTCCGTAGTATAGTGGTCAGTATGTGAGCTTGTCATCCAGCCCCTGGTTCCGATTATTCGCTCGAGACCCGGGTTCAATTCCCGGCGGGAGAGAAAGCATCTTTTTTTTTTCAAGATTTCCTAAGTAAATCTTTTATGTCTTTTGTTTTCGCTAGCCCATACGGCAATCCTCAATTCAAAAATCCACAATCAGACATACGTAGTACCATAGTCCACGAGTCCTCAGAGCAATCCCCATTAGTATATGTCTTGTTACTTTGCGGAATATGGCTGGATCTCTGAGCGGGTTTATATTTTCTCTGGGCGAGGCAGCAGACACCCGCCCAGTTGAACGACTTGTACTTTGGTTGAATTAGGCTTATTTGAACAAGCCGCTGTTCTAAAAATGAGCGGCTCAAAGAGTCTCAACGGCTCAAACTGGTGGGTGGGCATCTCCATATTCGCCCACCAGAGGCTTGACTTGAGCGGCTGGCTCATTCAGATAAGCCAGGGCTAGTTCGAGGGTTATTTTACAGCTCGATAATAACAGCATGGGGAAGCTAAGTAGGTAGCTGCTCGTGTCATCATTTCGGATCGAGTGAGGTGAGTTAGCCACTAACAACCTAAGCACTGGTATCCTAATCTGGATAGGGACATTGTATCACTCACTGTGTTTAATCTGGTACCAGTATGCTCTCGAGACTTTGCTGGATATTCCTCAAGCCGCAGCGGCACTGACCCTCCTCGCCTGGGTTGAGCGTCAGAGGTTCATATGGCAATTACACACACTCACTCTCTACCACTAGTTAGGTGGTTACTTACTGAGTGTCAAGCGGGCCCTATCAACCACCCTGCTGTGTAGGTGATATCCGGCATCTTCACTACCCTATATACATAAGTGGTCAGTCAGTGTCTGCCTATCGTATCAGATGGGGGCAGTAAGCCTGCGAAAAGCAAAACACACACCACGTACAGGAACTAAAGCAACAGGAAGCAAAGGAGTGTAGGTGAAAAATGTTGGTTTATTTGCTTATTGTACAGTATATATAATATCACACGGTATATCCGGCTAGCTTTCTATAAGCTGTCCAGATATCGACCCATTCATGTATCTATTTTAGTATCCGGCGAGATGGGGTTTGTTGAGTGGTGTTGCCGGGACGCCTAGTTGGCAGGTGTCGAGGCGACGTGTTTATGATAAAGCTGCGCGGTTGTGGTCTTCCGTATATAAAAAACGAGATACGGCCTTCGTTTTTGGGGTTCGGCGGTGTCATGGTTTCGGCCAGAAACTCTTTCTTGCACTTGGGACCAATCTCTTCCAGTCCTGAGTTCTCCTGCTCCAGAGACCCCCCAAAAGATAAAACCTCGGTCGTCGCATTGTCCTTCCTGCCTTGTTTGAGTTCCTCCTTCTTCGATATAACACCAGTTGCCATCCGCGCCTCTTTCTTCAAAATACCAACCAGCCCAGCCGTCTCAACAAACCCCTATTGATGTTCCCTTCCCTTCCCTCCCAGCAGCATACTCCCACCACCCAAACAGCCTATAACCGAACCTCCTCATCAACCTCCCCAGCCTTGACATTCCCCAATTGCCTCAACTGCTGCAAAACCCGCCCGCCATCCCGAGGCGCGGGCTTCTCGACATAAAACCCCGGCTCGGGCGTGCGCTCTTGCTTGACCTCCCAGTTGGTCTTGGGCCGGTCGACTTCTTCCACCAGCACAAGCTCTTTGACTTTCATGATCATGCCCGCGAATTGCGGCTCGACGGGGTGGAAAACGGTTTGCATACGCCGCCGGAGGCCGAGTGCCTTGAGGACGCCGTGGGTGCGTTCTGGCAGGCCGATTGCGCTGCGGTAGAGGGTTATTCGGAACCAGCCGGGCATCTTTGGCTTATTTTTTTGATTATTTTTTTGTCTGGGCTGGATGTGGGTTGAGGAAGGAGATGGGGGTATAAAAGCTTGTTGTCTTCGGGGATATTGATCGGCGCTGGTTTGGTGTTAGATTCGTTGTTTGGTTTCTCGAGATGATTCGTTCCGATTCGTTTTCTTACCCTCGTGTTGGTTGTTTCGGCCTTGGACCGTGACACAAACTACCGACTGTAGAGTTCTACTGTCTGTTCAGGTCGTAATTGAAAATAAAATCCGCGCCGTCGTTGCCCAATTCGATTTCGTCGGCGTCGCGATTGGTCGTACGAATTGGTAAAGTTCAGTCGCGATGTTCCAGCCCGGATGAACCCCGGTTCAACCTTCCCGCCAGACCAGAAAGCTTGGCATCAGGAGCTCAATCCGGACCTCTCAAAAAAATGTTTCTGCCGGACTTCACCACCTTTGCTGGGCTCCCCCACAATTATCCTATCATTCGTTATCTTATCGATTGAACAGAATTCCCCCACCGCATTCCATTCGGCCCCTCCAATACCTGAAGCTTCATCCATGCCATCGCATCGCATTCCGCCCACATCCACCTCGGTTCGGAGAACAAGATGTGAGATCCTATCAGCCCAACGACTTCCTGGCGACATGAAGGACGGGCTACATGATTACCAGGCTGCCGAGAGAGTACCGATACCTACGGGTCATCCTACTTGCGTTTTGCATGTCTGACGCAGACTTGCTACCGTCACCGTACATGCGAGGCACGGAAAAAGCCCCAAAATAGAAAATCACCGAGGTATCGGTACAACTGAAGGCTGCTCCCCTCGGTCATAAGTAGTCAGTCCTACCTATACCGCGGATGATATCCATGAGCAAGATAGGCATCCATGGCCTCCAAGGACTCTTGTTGTCCACGGGAACACTGTGTCACATGAATCGCCTTCATTGAGACCTTGATGCCAATGTATAGCTGCCGACAACTATCCCGATGGAAGACGGTTGCTCGTCAACGACTATCTACGTACATATGTATAGTCAAATTTCGCAAGGTGACGGACGGCAAGGTGGACATTGCATCAATACTCAATACCAGGTCATATCGCTTGATACACACCCAAGGCCGGAACCTCAACCGCCACGATCAATATCGGTCGCCGAAGCCCGATTGGCCCGGTACAACGACTCCGAGCCGTTCTTTTCATGATTGTACGTAGTATATACCATTCATATTAAATGTCTGAATATCTCGTCTGTGATAACCTTCGGGTAGTGGTACGTAACCAGGTCAAGTAGCATTGGTCTATCTAGCACTTCCGACTTTCTGCCTGCATTTTGTTAATATCATGCTTTTATTCTGAAACAAAACCAACTTTGCGAATATGTAGCTGGCCATGATGTTCTAGAAGCCCTTCAAGATACGTATATACCATGTAACCTCCTCTTGATCGGCAGCGCACCTCGGTAGTAACCTCAACAGGATTTATATATGAAAGAATCCTTACGCGACATGGGACCTAACGTGATCCTGAAGCTAGATATTTTATCCGTATGTCTGAGCCGAGGCATCAAATGACTACGGATACTGGTAGGTATGTAGTCTGCCTGGATATTTACAGCGGTGTACCTACTATACCTTACCTCCTACTATCAGGTCAAGGGCCCGGGTGCAGGTGTGCCAATACATCCATCATTCATCACATTCAGCCATCCACACTCTCAAGAATTAGAGTCGACTGAGACGAGAGCCCTGATCCAGTGTGCCCAAGAAAAGAAGATTGGAAAAGAAAAAGAAATAGAGAGAGGCAGGACCAACACTCCCAAAAGGCGATAAAAGGAAGTGATATAGGAGTAGTAAGCATTCCGTCCAGGGGCATAGCAAGAGGCGTATGCACAACACCATCATAAAAGAATGTTAGTCTCGTGGCTTACTGTTTGCGCTAGGGTTGAAAATTGAAGCAAGGTACAGAGATCTAGCATCTTGCGCCGCGGCTGAAATTGAACTAAGGACGGACCGTCGAGGAGGACCTGCTTGGCCGCAGGTTCGATGCATCGTGATAGACTTGGGCCCAGCCAGCTGGTCGTGTGCCCTCTTTCCATCCAGAACAAGAGGTGAATCAACAACGTCACGGAACAAAACTGGTAGCGAGAAACAAGATATCCGCGTTCTAAGAATTGAAAGATTTATAAATAAAATATTTCTACCAACTAAAATATCCCCTTGGTCATACGCGTACAGTGCCAGCATCCATATGGCCCCGAATACCAAGAACCCAACCTGACTACCAAGTCAATAACGAGCCCGTCCTTAATAGAGAAATCGATGATTTTGGCTGGCCCAACTTATCATTGCACCAAACACCTTGCCACCGAGCCGCGAGTCGCTTTTGTAAGGGCCTCGGTGATCTGCCTCCCTTGGCGTTAAGGCCCGACTACCCTTATCTATATTAAATTCCATTCACAAGGAAAAGTATATGCGCAACACCTCATGTTTCCTAAACTCCTCAGATCTGGACCTCGACACGGCCCTCTGTACCCGGTGGGCCGTTTTGCTGCAAACTGGGGAGGATATAAGTAATATCGTCCCAAGGATGACGGTAAAGACCAGTGCGCAGTCTCTTCTGATCGAGGTAATGGGCAATAAGACCAATGCTGCGGCCGAGCACAAAGAGACCGTTGAGAACACCCATGCTGAGGTAATCTTCCGCCTCCTCGGCAGTGAAGGCACCGCAGTTCCGTAGAAGATCAACAAAGCAGACAGCGACGCAGCCATCAACGTTGAGAATGAGGTTGTCCTTCTTGGAGGTTGTGACGCTCTCGACGGCAAGCGCGTAGTCGAGGAGCTTGTGGTTGGGGAACTTGGCCTTGACGTATTCCTTGACAAGCTCGACACGGAGATCGGGGTTGTTGCGGGACTTGACACGATGGCCAATGCCAGGGATGAGCTTGTTCTGCTTGCGCATGGTGTCGACAAACTCACGAGGGCTCAAGCCCTTGTCGAATGCCTTGGTAAACTCCTCGGCGGCACCATCAAGAGCACCACCGAATCTTGAACCGATGGTAAGCAGACCGCTGACCAGGGCGCTGATAAGATCCTTGCCAGCACGGGTAGTAATGATGGTGTTCATGGCACCGGAGACAGCAGGACCGTGATCAGCGGTAAGCATGAGCACCATCTCGAGGAACTTGGAAGCGTAGTCGGGAAGACGGCGACGGAACCACAGAAGGGCCATGACACCGCCGA